TCCCCCGCGACGCCACCGAATCGCGACCACAAAGTTGAATATGAGAATGAACAACACAAACTTCCGTACGCGAGGTCAGGGCCGGTAAGAGATCAACGATTGCGGTGTGATGGGGTGTGCGCAGCCCTGTGTAGACCCAGCTGCAGGGTAGAAAATGTGCTCAGGATAGGGAAGGGGCCCGCTGTCTGAATATGAGGATGAGCGTCGGTCGGCCTGACGAGGTTTTACTCGAGGTTCCACAAGCCAACTTTAAACTCTTCGGCCCTCAAACCCCCCTCTTTGCTGCCAAAATTTCGGCGCCGAACTTTAGCGTTCTCTAGCCGGTCGTGAGTTTTATTTTGCACCCTCCGCTGCTCAATCGGAGGAGATAAGAGGTGTTGGTTGGCAGGGGCGCAACGCAAAACAAACTCGCGACCAAATGAGGGAGGGAAGGCCAACGAGTTGGCCTGCTGCTTGTTGGCCTGTTCGAGTTGTCGTGTGGGGGTGAGGTGAGGAGGAGGAACGGGCAGAGCAAAGACAAAGCAACGCGCGCGTTTGGTAAATTGGAAAAGGGTGTGGGGGATAGTAGGTGGGACGACGTGGTGGGGGGAATACTTCCAGCTGCGTACTTTGCTTCGAGTTCTCCCCAAACTGCTGCAACCCCCGCCCCGCCCGCCCGTCCCGTGGATCCGCGGCCGCGCGCACTAGTTCTCTGGCCCCCCCATTGTGCGGGCGTGCATATTAAGAGAGAGAGGGGGGTTACACCGGCGCGCGGCCCCGCCCGCTCCGCCCCGCCACAAATACCGCAATCGGGGCCGCGCGCGAAAGTTCTCACAGCACGGCTAAACACGCGTCGGGGGCGCAGAGCGGGCGTGGCGTAGCGTGGCGTGGCGTGGCGTAGGGACAAAGCAGAAAGGACCTTCGCCCCGCGCCCCCGCAGCCCCGCCTCATCAGCCCGGGCTCAGACTGGCTCAGCAGCGCCTCCGCAGGCCGTATTGGGAAACGGGGCTCAACGGGTTCCGCGGCGGCTCCGTCTAAAGGATGCCGCATTCACTCTACGGGGAAGGCGCGGGCGGTTCGCCTTATATATTCTCCACCACCGCCCCGCTGAGCGGGTTTTCCGCGTCCCCGCGGCGGTGGCGGCGCAGCGACACGGGCAAAGGCGCGACATTCCGAGGGCAAAGGCACCTGCTCGGCGCTCTTAAGTCGTAATTCTGTCTCGCTTTCTAGGAATCAGCATTTGGGGATGACTTTCGTGAGGTACGCCAAAAGCATGGTTTCGAATTTCTTGGTCGTTGCCAATTAGTACAATTTTCTCTCCTTCCTCTCAGTTTCTTTTTATTTCACTGTAGGGGATTTCATCGTAAATTGACGAAAAAGAAACCTGTTAAATTTTATACACGAACTATTCGTCATTGCTTAGAAAACAAATGCTTGTTAAAATGACGAAAAGTTCGCAATTTTTCATAGATATGTAAGTTAGCCATGTCATTGTGCACCCCTATAAACAAATGTGCGTCTATAAATTTACGAACAATTTGTTTATTGCCTGCGAACAGTTCGTATTTTTGGATTTGACGAACATTGTTCGTAAAAGCAGAATACGAGCTGTTCGTGAGGAATTTTATCGTAAAATTACGAAATCTGCTGACAGTGTTCCCTCTCCTTGATATTATGAGTAGCTCGCAAAGCGTTGGTCAGAGGGGATGCGGCCTGGCAGACGTGATAAACTGCCCCCCATATTGCAGTGCGCTTCAAAAGCTGGCGCGTGGGAGCCGCGGGGCAGGAGAGAAGCAAGGTTCTTTAAAAAAATCTTCACTTCACTGAGTCTGGGCGGACGTACGCCCATCTGCGGCCCACCCAGCCCGACGCGCACACGGGAGATTTATCGAGCAGAGAGAGAGAGTGAGAAAAGTAAAAGGGGGAGGGGAATAAGGGAGGAAGCGGGGGCAGAGCCAAGCCTTACGGACACCTCGCCGCTCTGACTAAACCTCCGCAAGCCCGAGCCGCCCCCGCCGCCCTGCCGCACTGCGGTCAGCGCAATGTGACACACGCCCAACTACCCCCGGCACGGCACGCCACTGAGCCACGCCACGCCACGCTAGAGGTTGGCTTTAATCATTACAGTGCTAATTGCGGCCTCTGTGGTCAGCCAAGCGAAGCGAGCGGGTCGGGCGCGGCGGGGCGGGGCGCGGCGGGGCGGGGCGGGGGCGCGGGGCCCGTTGTTCTATACGGCGACGGCGGCGCGGGGGTTGCGAGGCGGGGCCAGTCGCAGCCCCGGCGCTGCTCGACCCTCTCTGGCGCCGCCGCCGCTGACCCGGGCTGGCCTGGCGCCCACACCCGTAGGAGGGACCACCTTATGTCGGTGCGTCGCCGTCCCCTGCGCCGCCGCGCGCTGCGCCCGGCGCAGTGACCCGCAGTGGCCGCACACAGCTGCGTGGCGGGGCTGACCGCCCCAAGCCGGCCCCGGCGTGCCCCGCCCCACCACCACGCCCCACATTCGCTGTTTGCCCAGGGCGTGTCCTATTGGCCCAGAGGGCGCCTAGGGCGGCGAGGGCGTAACTAGGGCTGCGGGCTTCTCGATCTCGTAAAAATTGTTTACGACGTGCAGTTCCAAGTGGAATTGATTGAAAAATACAAAAAAAAAGAAGACACAATCTTACCTTGTTTTTGTCTGTCTGTTGCAGGTGCGAAGCGGTGCCCGCGGATGGAGCGGCGGCGGGGGCGGCCCGGGGGCCGGCCGGCCCCGGGAGGCGGTCCGTGGGGGGCGCTGTGAGGCCGCGGGCTGCCGCGGGAGGCGGCCCCGTAGGGCCCGGAGGCATGGGCCGGCCCCGTAGGGCCCGGGCCGGGCCGCTCTGTGGGGGGGCCCCCGAGGGCCGCCTGGGCCGCGCTTAGGCCGCCATGGAGCAGCCGGCCTCACAGCAGCATGGAGACTCCGAGCCTGAGGTGAGGAGGAACATCATGCTTAATTTTGCTACAGAGAGAATATTTTCTAATTACAAAGGTTGTTAAGATACCAAACATTTAACGCTATCAAATACAAAGGAGCCACGCCGTAAAATACTGAATAGTTCATTCGTAAGATAAACCACTTTTGAACAGTTCAAAGTTAAAGAGTTTAAATTGAAGCTTTGTAATATACAAAGGAGTATAAATACAAGGTTTTGTATTAGATCTCAATTTATAATTTGGATGTGAGCGAGTAACAGCTACCGGTTAAAATTGAGCGTGTAACTATTTCACCCTATTAAAACTTTAGATTACATCTCACAAATTGCTTCAGCCATTGGTTTGTGTATTGCAGAACCCTCAACCTCATCTGATAATAAGGCATTGGATTAGTTGCCTGTGACGCACACACTTTTATCAAAGACTGGGAGGGACCAAGGTGCACAAAGGCCAGACACAATTAAAGCAATGCATAAAAAATTAACAGTATTTAAATTCTAGGCACCAGTTACCTTTTACTGAAGGTAAATACTTACTTGTGCAACATTACAGCAGGCTCAAATGGATGCAGGTTTCCAAGGGCGAAATGCTTTCCCTAACCTCAACGGCCGGCAAGTTAATACAGCCCAAAACCGCTGGCCATCGAAAGACGATGCAGTATTCAACGTAAAATGATATGAAACTTCTGGGATATGATTATGGGATAAGAGCTCTAACTGCCATAAAAGTGCTCCACTCCGAGAAGGTATTGAAAGTCTGGCGATAAACACGATGATCTTCAGGTGACGGCGCCATGACACGAGAAACGACCGACGACTGCGGCGGCGTAGGGGACGCGGGGGAGACACAGGTGGCGCGCTCTTGCGGGGTTGTTGTGAAGCTGGGAACGTTTTGGCATTCCCTTCGCCGCGCCGCCGCTGCAGTTGGCAGTCCTAACTGCGGGCTGCAGGTGAATCCCATGCTTTCGCCCCTTCGTTGCTAGGACAGTTTTCGCATCCCATGAACATGAACCACTTCGAATAGCTGTCACAACACAAATTTTAATGCAGGAAGAATTTGAGAGTGAGTCCATACGTCACCTTCTCCTTGTGGTAATCATAAAATTACGACATTTAACTGTCGTACTGTGTAAAACAAAATTTACGACGATTCCGTTCTCTAAAAGAGGGCTGGCGTTACTTTTCCAGGCGGAGTTGCTGGAGGCCACCCCGGAGGCGGTGCAGCGATGGCTGGGGGACCGGCCCGAGGTGCTGGAGCGGGTGCTGCGGACGGCGCCCCCGGAGCTGCTGCAGCGCGCCCTGGGCACCCCCGGCACCCCGGTGTCCCCCGAGTGGGGCGGCACCTCCCCGTGCAGCACGATGGTGCGCGTGGGGCCGGGACCCGGGGGGCCCGGGGGAGGAGGCCCCGCCCTCGCCGGCGCCGACCTGGAGGACAAGCACGGCGGCGTGGAGGTGGCGGCCGGCCAGCAGGCCCGCACCAAGAGGAACTCCGTCACCTCCGACCTGTTCCAGATGTGGCTGGGGGCGTCCCCCATCAAGCGTTCCAAGTCCCCGAACAGGTGAGTGGCTCGGTGTTTGTTTGTTCATCCCCGCCAGCGCCCCGCTGCTGCAAGACAAGCCGGTGAAATATATCGCGCGGGCATCTGGCCCGCCTCAGCGCTGGCGCACTGCTGGTCATGCGCCACATGAGGTGCTCATTGGATATTCATGCGGTGCGGGAAGGGAGGGGAGGAGGAGAAGGAGGGCGTGTCCGTAGCGCCCTGAGCCTTTGCAATGCAGAACAAAAGGGCCCCGTCAAGCACCGTGCCTGCCCGGGCCGAGCGAGGGCCGAGGGCTGCCCCGGGGGCTCCCTGCAGGCTGCCTCTCTGAAGGCTCCTCCAGCAGCGGCTCACACTTCAGGGGCTACTTCAGGCCCCGCAGGAGGAGGGCCCCTCCAGGATTCTCCAGGCGGGCAGCGGCGCAGCCCCCGGCGGCAGGACACGAGCAGGGGTGGTTGTCGTGGTGGTGGGGAAGAAGGATGACGCCGTCAGTCCCGGGCTCATTGTCTTGCAAATGGCCAACCTTTCGCTCTAAGCCCCGGGTGTGTCGGGCCGCGCGCGCTGCACCGCCCGACGCACACCGTTAAGCCCAAACAAGCATAGGAGGCGGGCGGTAGGAGCTCCACCCACGCCTCGCCCTAAAGCCCCGGAGGGAAACATCCGCAGCAGCAGCAGCGCTCAGCAGCGGAGACATGAGGAGCGTATCGGATCGTGCGTGTGCGCGTCACCGTCGCGTCGCCCGAGGTGGTGCCGAGGACAGCGACAAGAAGAGCGCGCCCTCCCTCTCACGTCTCTCTCTCTCTCTCTCGTCTCCGTCTCTGCTCTCGTCTCCCACCTGCCGCCGGCAGCAGTCCTCTCTCTACCTACGCAGTAGAAAGGACCGCCCCCGTTAAGATCGCGCCGCGTAAGCCATTCGCAGCGCGAGGCACGGCGGGCGGGCGCTGCCGCTGGAACAAGGTTTGTCTCCGTGAAGAGCTTTTAACGCCCTGCCGCGCCCCGCCCCCCTGCCGTGCCCCGGGGTCCCGTTATTTCGCCCAACTCGGAGGGACCATTATCCCGCCCCCGCCGCTTTCTTTGCGCTCACTCCCGGGTCCGTGACCCCAGTCGGCAGCGCCGTGCCGCGCACCGCACCGCACGTCGCCGCGCTGAAGGTGATTTATTTTACAATTGCATTGCGCACCGCCGCGCCCGGGGGGTTCCGGGGGATGTCGGGGGGTGCCAGGGGGTGCTGGGCGTTGCCGGGGGGTGCCGGGGCCGGGTACAGAGGTCGGCCGTCCTAAATTACTTACGGCTACGCACCTCTGGCTGCCCCCTCTCTCCCTCCTCCTCCTCTCTCTCACCCGGGGCCGAGTGTTTGCTCTAATCGTTGGGCTTATCTACCCCCAGCAACCCCTCCCTCCCTCATCGCCGACACTCTCCGGACCGCCCCGCTCTCCTCCCTCACATCCCCTCTCTCCCCTCGCGAACGGGGGGGGTGGGGGGTGGGGGGGACTTATCTGATTAGAGATGAATGGGAGGGACAGTCGGCTCTTTACCATCAGTGCGCGCCATCGGGCCACACCTCGCTGCGACACGCCGCCTCGCCACACCCTGCCACGCCTGTGCGGTCCAGCTCTTCCACCCCTTCCTCTCTGGCCACTGCCGTTGAGGTTAGGGTCGGGGTGGGAGGTCGGTAGTCCTCCCCTGCCAGGCCACGCCGGATGACAATTTCATACTCGAACAGAGCAAGTGGTTTTGACGGTGGCAGGCAGCCGGGCGAGCGCTTTAATCGTGTGAATATTTACGCGACTCGAACGCATATGTGTTTCCGTGGCAGCAGAACGACAGGATAAAGGGAGAGAGGGGAAAGAGGGAGCCAAAACAGAAAATGAGCAGAGGTGGGTGTGTTTTTGTGCGTCCGAACGTTTGTTCCGCCGCCGCTGCTCGGCTATACCGACCGTTAAATAGAGCACCATCATCGTGATCATCCGACCCTATCAGGAATATTAGGTTAGCGCTGCGAAAACTAATACTGCCGATATTGGCAGCGTCAGTGACACGAGACGTGCGTGGCACACACTGGGGCCCCCGGCTGCTGCTACACTCATCCCCCACCCCCTTACCACACACACCACCACCGATCCGATCGAATTCCCACGCCCTTTGCCTAATCCTGCCGTGAAGTTCCTGTGATTCACACCCGCCACCCCCTTCACCTACAACCACACGCCCCAAGACGTACATACGCGAACGAAGACGGAACGGAAACGTTAAAACTTGTCAGGAGGCCTATTTTTTTTAATTTGCCTGTACTCTTAAGTAAGGACTTCTGCCCCTATTTTCCCAAGTCTCATCCGCCTCAACGCCGATGTACTCTCCCAAACTCTCTACATGCTACAGCCCGGACCCCTTGCTCTCCCGGAAGCAGGAGGCAGGCGAGGCGGCGGGAGAGCCTTTCCGTTGCTGCAGCTGCAGGTGTGGTGGCGCGAGGTTCTTCCCCGGGACGCCGCCGCCGAGCCGGCCCAACAATTTCCTCTCTCTTTCACCGAGCGACAAAAGACGCGCTCGCCCAAACCGGGAAGCGCGCGCGCGCAGGGGTATGGGTGAAGGAGTCTTCTCACCCTACCAAACACCGAACGCCTACCGCAAATGTTTTCAAATTTGACTTCAAAGAAAAAAGAGAAGAACACGCAATGTATGAAGAAAAGAACCAAAGTAGTGCGTTCAATACAATAATAAATGCAAAGAGAGTCGCATTGTCCTTCTAAGAAAACATTTTCTAAACGTTTTATATGGCGATGCGAAGAAATGGAAAAGCGAACGGCGAGGAAGCTCATGAAAGAAAGGGATTCGTAACGGAAAAAGGACATCCCCGCGGCCCAAAAACGATTAGCATGTCATAAAAATATCAGACAGCAGGGAAACAAACGAAAAGTGAATCGAAGCCTATGTTGACTCTCCCAATACCCCCCTTGTCCGTGACAGCTTAGCTTGTTTCTTGCGCTTCGTAAATTATTCGACGAGACTTTTTGGACACGAAAAAGTAAACCGGATCCATCATATAGGATATACTTCACGGACAGAGATGTATGTGGGTCGGGATAGGGATGCCCTTCCTGCGCATCGAGTCAGCGCAGGAGTTGGCTGAGCACAGGAGTTGGCTGGGCACAGGAGTAGGCTGAGCACAGGAGTTGGCTGAGCAAAGGAGTTGGCGGAGCACAGGAGCTAGCTCAGCAGAGCACAGGCATGTCGGGGCCAGTGCCTTACTACTCCACGGCCACGGCCTCCTTCGCCTGCCGCTCAATGAATAATGCAGACAATTCACAGCCCCGTACTGCTTAGTCGCGCTGCCCGGGGCGGGGCGGGCCGAGGGGGCGTTGTCTTGTTAAGGCCCAGGCTAGTAAGGCGGTGGCGCTGGCCCGGGGTTGGTTGTAACTCCTTGGTATGCCACAGAGTGCGCCACACCACTCCACTCCGCCGCCCACCTTGCTCTCCGAACCGGGCAGGGAGGAGAAACAAGGGCGAAAAGGTAGAAAGCAGAGCTTTACTACTGCGGAGCTGTCTCGACTTGTTTCTCCGTTTTTTAGCAAAGCAAATAGAGAAAGGGGAAAAAAACACTAGATCCACTGGCAAAGCCGCTTTCCTATGCGCGTTATTGTTTTCAGTTAGCGAATAACGAAAAATCGATTTCTAGATGTATACAAGGATGCATAATAACAATAGAACCAAATGCAGAATGTGTATGCAGTTGCAGCAGAATAGGTTAACTAACTTGCTGGATATGACTTGTGCAGGTCGGTGGGGCAGGCGGAGCGGCTGCGATCACTGCAGCAGCTGGACGAGCGGGACCTCTTCATGGAGCTGATCCGGGACGTGGCCACCGAGCTGGACATCGACGTGCTCTGCCACAAGATCCTGGTCAACGTCGGGCTGCTCACGCACGCCGACCGGGGGTCGCTGTTCCTGGCGCGCGGCTCCCCCGACCAGCGCTACCTCGTGGCCAAACTGTTCGACGTAACAGTCGATACCGGTAAGTGGAAAGGGGAGCAGTGCAAGGAAGCACTAAAAAAACCGTTTGCAGATTTTTCCTAGAACTATTCTGTCCCGTAGGAAACATTTCAGTACTATTGCAGCAAACAAAACAAATAGGAAGCAAGCCTAGTTTATCTTTTTTATGTGGCGATTTAAACGTTTCCTTTTGCGTGAGGGGAGAAGGGGACGATTGTAAAGCCGGGGTCACCATGGCCACGTCCCCTAGCCGAGACGTTTCCAAGAAGCTTACGGCGAGCTTACGGGGCGCCGACCCAGCCGGCTGGCCAGCCTCGACCCTCGACCGCTGCTGCACCACCAGCTCCGATTGACTTGCTGGGGCGACGGAGAACACAAAGAGCGCCACCGCTCCAATTACAAGTGATTTCGAGCCGATATTTTGTTTTCGAGAGACAATCGCCGCATCGCCACCATTTGCTCCTTCCCCCTTTTGTTTAGCCCGCTCTTCTGCTTTGGAAAAGTTGCATCAGCGCCCAGCGGGCGTTTTTAATCGATCTGGTGTCAGTCTGTCTGTGCGTTCCCCGACGACGGCTTTATTGTGTCATTTATTAAAACTGGGAGAGTGATATAGTGCGACCAGAAAATCTACTTCTAGTCCCAAGAAAATTTGGTATGATCCAAGTGCACAGACACAGCCGCAGCGATAAACAAGGGGATTCAAGTTGCATTATTTCAAACAACTAATGCCTCATTGCTTGAGTAAATTTGATCTCGTCTCACGCACGTGTACAAAGTGAGCCTGGTACAAAGAAACGTTTCTTTTTCTATACATGCAGGGTGTCAATTTGGCAGCAGCGAAAACCGTAGGACGGATGGGGATGACGCAAAGGTGCCAGCAGCTGCAGCATCCGAATCGTTAAGTGGGTCGAAGGGGTTGGGGTGGTCTAATATGTGAGATGGGCTGATGGGCTGACCACCATCCCACCCCGCCCTACCCGCCCGCTCCGCCCACTCGCCTGCGCTATTTATTTGCGATCTCGGATTACCTCCCACTGGGCCTGACGCTTTCGCCCGCCCGACCTGGCCTCCCCGGGCGGTGGTGGTGGTGGACCTGCGCAGCCCAGAGTGACGACCCTCTCCCAAATCACCGCCCAGCAATCACCATCACCCTCACCATCATCAGCAAAGCTGTATCACCATCAATCAGGCGGGCGGTGGTGCGGCCGCGCCGGGCCATAGAGAGCTATCGGAGGGAGGGAGGGAGGGAGGGAGGGAGGGAGGGAGGGAGGGAGGGATGAATTTCCTCGATTTTCTCGAACGAAGTCGTCCTGATTTGTGGACCGGAACGAGAAACGCGGGATGAGTTGCTGCACTCGTTTGGTCCAGAAGCAGAACGCGGCCTCCTCTTGAGCTCCGACCGTCACGCGTCCTGCTGCTGCTGTTCCAGAGCTGGAGGAGGCACTGGACAAGGCGCAGTGCGAGGAGCTGCGCATCCCCTTCGGCACGGGCATCGCGGGCTGGGTGGCGCAGAACAAGCAGATCATCAACATCACCAACGCCTACGAGGTGAGTCTAGACTACACCAATGCGGAAGTCAAGTTTTACATGAATATTTCCCATGGTTTGGGTGGCAAAATTACAGTTTTTTTTAAATTGCGTTTAGTTACGAAATTCTTGAGACACTGCGTTCCGACTTGGTTTCCTTCGACGAGTAAAAGAAAGAGCTGTCGTAAATTTACGATGCCGATCCTGAACTAACGTTATTAATTGTAAATTGTTATGATCGCAACAACAGAAATATTGCAAATCTACAGAGATGTTTTTCAGTGGGTAGTTGGGTAGTCCTGCATGACCTTTACCCGTGATGCTGTGGCGCCCTCACTGGGGCGCCCCTGATGATGGCCCTACACACGTGGACGCCACGTGGACCGGCTGTCCCTGGGTTGTCCCTTTTCTATGTATAGACCAGGCTCGAATTTTGTTTGCGAAACAAGCGGTGGCACAGGGGTGGGGGGCCAAAAGGGAGGGGAGGGGGCTACGGCCCCTTGTACGTGATGGGAAAGCGCGGTGGAGAGCAGAAGGTGGACATGATGAAGAAGAAGAGGAGGAGGAGGAGGAGCAGGAGGAGGAGGGAGAGTAATTCGAGAAGAAAGGGCACGGAAAAGTTTCTTGTCACGGCGAGACAATCCCCCCTCCTCCTCGTCCTCCTCTCCTCCCCCTAACACCACCACCTCTTTTTTTCCTCTCGACGAAACCATGTGGCGTTATATTGTATCGCAGACAAGGAAGCAATGAACTCACCGAGTGGGAGGCATGATAAGGGAAGATGAGAGGCGGCGGGGAGGGAAGGTCAGGGCGGCTGCCGCTCGCGGTCTCTCTCGCTCCCACTGCTTCTTTCTTCTCCATCTCTCTTCCCCCCCTCCCCACAGCTCTGTTTGTCCAGGGCAGATTGAGTTCCCTTTGCGGCCGCTCCCGCTGCCCCCCCCCCCATCACCCCATCCAAGCCGTCGCCCGGCACTGGGAAGCGCGAGGCGTTCTGATAACCCTGAAACCCCAACAAAACACCACGCCAGCAGACCAGCTTCTATTGAACGTCTCCTACTCATCATTCTAATTTCTCATTCTCATTCTCACCATTGCTCTTTAAAGCTCACAGAGTCGTATCGCAGAGCGAACATTTAACTATTTTTTATACTCTGCGTGTGCCGGATTTTGTGGTCAAGTGAAGAGATGATTCTAGCCCGCATCCTCCAAACTCTCTGCACAGACATAGGATATAGG